GGGTAGGGTGTATCAAACCATGTGAATCATGGCAGCTGGGTAGGGTATATCAAACCATGTGAACCATGGCAGCTGGGTAGGCTGTATCAAACCATGTGAACCATGGCAGTTGGGTAGGGTATATCAAACTATGTGAACCATGGCAGTTGGGTAGGGTATATCAAACCATGTGAATCATGGCAGTCGGGTAGGGTATATCAAACCATGTGAACCATGGCAGCTGGGTAGGGTATATTAACCCATGTGAACCATGGCAGTCGGGTAGGGTGTTCCAAACCATGTGAACCATGGCAGCTGGGTAGGGTATATCAAACCATGTGAACCATGGCAGTCGGGTAGGGTATATCAAACCATGTGAACCATGGCAGTCGGGTAGGGTATATCAAACTATGTGAACCCTGGCAGTTGGGTAGGGTATATCAACCCATGTGAACCCTGGCAGCTGGGTAGGGTATATCAAACCATGTGAACCATGGCAGTCGGGTAGGGTATATCAAACCATGTGAACCATGGCAGTCGGGTAGGGTATATCAAACTATGTGAACCATGGCAGTTGGGTAGGGTATATCAACCCATGTGAACCCTGGCAGCTAGGTAGGGTATATCAAGTTTTTAGATGCAATATAGAAAAAAGCTATTTGCAAGATTATACCTGATTGGCTACCCAACCCCAAAAGTCAGACCAATCAGAGAGCAGCTTGTTTGTTGGCAGGTTTTTTCAATATATCAAATTCGGTCTTGTATAAATGCTTTGACATGATAGCATTGTAGTCAGAATCATACCCAATTTTGAGGCATGCAAATAAACTAGAAATACACTGGCTATGACACCAGGAAAGTTTTCCTAAGACTATTTGTCATCATGTTAAAAAAAGAATAAATGTGCTATAGAGGACTGCAAACCATTCAAGCATTAGAGCTAATTTGCATAAGAATCAGAAGCATTTATTTGTCTTAGCGATTTATTATCATGTTTGATCTCAAGTTCATATTCAGAACTAATTGAGATGTTTTGTCAATACTTCTTTTCAATACACAATAGAAATGACATTACTGTTATACACTGATATATAAATACTGATTGTAAATGATATATGTACGAGCAAGAAAAGAAAATACATGTATCACACAAACTGGCAGCCATTTAAGTATTTGAAACTTATTCTTCCTTTTGGCAAAATATCAAACTTTGCAATCATAACACTAAACATATTAATTTGAATCCAAGTGGGATGGAAGGAGAGGGGAAAAACCTCGCCTGTCTAAAGTGACCATAACTCTCTGGACACAAGATTTGTTAAATGAGCCCCTTGTACACCAAGAGATGAATGTCACAGTCCCCATTATTTAACTATAAAATGCTCATGTTAAAATAATACATGGAACATCTGCAAACAATTGAATTAATATGTACTCTATGTGGGTACAACTTATCATCGATTTCCCTTAATCTGATAATTGAAAACTTTCATTGACCCGGGTTCTAATCTCAAAGTACACAAGGGCAACCAAACTAAGTCTCATACATGCTCAAGAAATTGCATTCATAAATCTGAGTAAACCTTGATGTACCTTTAATAACAACTTACTGCTTTTAATTCAGGTCTTTGTATATTACCAGGACCTGGGTTTGTTTCAGTATCACCACTATAATTCCAATCCAAATGTAGCCCTGACACCCCTCTACATTCTCTACTGAGATTTGTATTGGTGCGACCCTTCTGTCACAGATTCAGATCGAGGTCATGACATCACTAAAAACCCGAGCATTACAATCTAAGCTAATTATTTATTCTGAGCATGCTCAGTTGTTCTCTCAGTGCAGTCGGGAGAAATAATTTTGGATGAAAATCTTGAAAAACACCCACATAGGATTTTTAGATAAGGAAAAAAAATTTACGTGCATATTCAACAGAGACTTATTCATGAGCCTGCCAGGTTTTATTGATATCCTGCTGCAGAATTTCTAAGAAAATGTTGGAGACATAAAGGGGGAAGGACGGAAGGAAACCAGAACAAAGAAATAATAGTCGCCTTTCAGGCTACGCCTGAACGGGAACTAAAAACCAAAATGATGGAAGAAGATTGTATGTAAGCAAACACTTTTTTAGGCAATTTAATCAAAACAAATAAGAATACTTTTTTAGTTATTCCCATATTTAAATGACAAATTGCTCTTTAAAATAATACATGTAGTTTCATTTGATTTCAAACTCCAAATAAAGGCCATTTAAGCACTGTAACTGTACAGGTTTGACTATAACTTGAGTAGGTGGTATACACAAGTTTGTCTACCTTGGGTGGCCACTATACACAGGTTTGACTGTACCTTCAGTTGTCGTTATATACAGGTCTGATTATAGTATGTAGTCTACTTGTACTAAATGTGATTAGATTTGTGATCTGATGAGATTAAACTAGAATAGCATGCACAATAAGTCCACAGTTTATCTACAACGTAGCACCATAGATTTTGCCATGGCTAGGGGAATCTCAGGTATCACCTTTGTGGAAGTGTGGTGATATTTCATTGCAGATAGCACTGTACATAAAACAAACTTATGTCAGCAACTCAATATCATTCATTTCTTACCGCCCCCTCAAACACTGAAACGAATCAACAATCAAATGAATGTGTTACAAGTAAAGATAAAAACCAATCATGGAATTGTATCAACATTTGAGACAATATACTCTTTTGAAGTATGTTGAAATAATTGTAATTAAAACACTAATAAAACATGCACCAACAAATTTACAAAGCGACCACATTTTCTACAGTGCTATTAACCAATTTAGTTCTGAAGTTCATGAGAAGATGTCAAAATAGACAAAAAATAATATAAACTATATGAATAAATTAAGATAACTAATATGCATAGATTTAAGATTTCTGGTAATCAGAATTCCCACTTACATAATCTAAAAATCGGAGTTGAATCCAGCAGATGACAATAATGGGAGAATAGTAAACTGGACAAATCGTGGACAAATCTTGAACAAATCATGTTTACCCACCCCTTCAAAAAAGAACAATATATTTACAACAAATATGCGTTTAAAAATACATAAGTGACAGTGTGCAATTATCAAAATAAGTTGCACTTCTTATAAATCCATACTTACAAACTCTGAATTAAAAACTGTTTTTTGAAAAAAAAAAGTCCTTTGGGGAAAATATTTACACAATATTTAAATGAGGAAAATAATTTCTCAGTGCAGTGACTGCATCAGTACAGATTTTGATGACAAGTGAATTACTCCTGGCACAGCATTGAGGCTGGTGATCCAAGGTGTGTCGTCAATGAAAGATGAGATCCAAGGTGTGTCATCAATGAAAGATGAGATCCAGGGTGTGTCATCAATGAAAGATGACATCCAAGATGCGTCATCAATGAAAGATGAGATCCAAGGTGTGTCATCAATGAAAGATGAGATCCAAGGTGTGTCATCAATGAAAGATGAGATCCAAGGTGTGTCATCAATGAAAGATGATGTCCAAGATGTTCCACCAATGAAAGATGAGATCCAAGTAATGTCATCAATGAAAGATGATATCCAAGGTGTGCCATCAATGAAAGACGAGATCCAAGGTGTGTCATCAATGAAAGATGAGATCCAAGGTATTTCATCAATGAAAGATGATATCCAAGGAGTGCCATCAATGAAAGATGATATCCAAGGTGTGCCATCAATGAAAGATGGGATCCAAGGTGTGTCATCAATGAAAGATGAGATCCAAGGTGTGTCATCAACGAAAGATGAGATCCAAGACGTGTCATCAATAAAAGATGAAATCCAAGGTGTCTCATCAATGAAAGATGATATTCAAGGTGTGCCATCAATGAAAGATGAGATCCAAGGAGTGTCATCAATGAAAGATGAGATCCAAGTTGTGTCATCAATGAAAGATGAGATCCAAGAAGTGTCATCAATGAAAGATGAGATCCAAGACGTGCCATCAATTGATCATTTCTTTATCATTGTACTCCTGCAAAACAAAAAAATATTGTATTGGTCAGAACAGATTTCTGGCTGGTATGTTACAATAGTAATCAGCCATAGTAAAATTGATGTATCATTTACTAAATGATTGAACAACCCAATTTTGATTGGAGCATTACAATGATATTGACCTAACATGGAAATGTAATGCATTTTAAGTACATACCAGTACAGTATTTGTTATATTAGTAGTACATGTGCTTATGTAAATTAAGTGTTTCTAAGGTCAAAATAAGTAATATTTCAAGGATCCAGTATTCAACAAACGTGATTTTAGGTTTGTGACTCTTCTATTGGAGATGTGCTTTTAATAAATCAAATATGGTAGTGGTTTGTTGTTCTACAGACACTGTGAAATATCATTAAGGCAAGTGAACAATAAAAAAAAAGAATGCAAAACTCATTAATGTCATGTACTCTATTGTTCAATGAATGTTGATGAATGTACTTACTCCTCCAGTGTCTTTCCCCCTCCACTCAACACTAAGAATGGGGTCTGTAATAGCTTTTGTTTTTCTTGTAACCTAGCAACAGTGTTTAATGGTGTATCTGTTGAACTCATCTGCTTCATCATCTGAAAATATACAAACGTTGAGTAAATACATAATTAATATCACATTGTCAAGCAAACATAGACGACACTGGACATTGGGATACCATGCATTCAATATACCATTCTCTTACCAATTCATCCTGTACTTTTTTATTTCTCTTTTCAGTCTTCATCTTTCCTGATCCTTTACCATGGAAACGATGAGATAACACTCTGAAAGCCTGACAAGTGAGAAAATAAAATGTAATATCGCTCAACGAGGTTGACAGAAAGAAAATATCACTCTCAGTAATTTTATCTAACATATGTCAATAGTTTCAGAATCAATGTTTGGAGTGACAGTAAAGTGACATCACTAGTTTCAGAATCAATGTTAGTAGTGACACATTAAAAGTGACATCACTAGTTTCAGAATCAATGTTAGTAGTTATACATTAAAGTGACATCACTAGTTTCAGAATCAATGTTTGGAGTGACAGTAAAGTGACATCACTAGTTTTAGAATCAATGTTAGTAGTGACACATTAAAAGTGACATCACTAGTTTCAGAATCAATGTTAGTAGTTATACATTAAAGTGACATCACTAGTTTCAGAATCAATGTTTGGAGTGACAGTAAAGTGACATCACTAGTTTCAGAATCAATGTTAGTAGTGACACATTAAAAGTGACATCACTAGTTTCAGAATCAATGTTAGTAGTTATACATTAAAGTGACATCACTAGTTTCAGAATCAATGTTT